CGCGCCCAAGTGTGCCTGTTCGGCACGTGCTGCTGTGCTCTGTTTCGCGAGTTTTCATGCGCGTGTGCGTGTGTGTGTGTGTGTGTCTGTCTGTCTGTCTGTCTGTCTGTCTGTCTGTCTGTCTGTCTGTCTGTGGCTGTCTTTCTGTCTGGGTGTCTGTCTGTCTGTCTGTCTGTCTGTCTGTCTGTCTGTCTGTCTGTTTGCCTGCCCTCCCTGCCTGCCTGCCTGCCTGCCTGCCTGCCTGCCTGCCTGCCTGCGCAACACCAGTGCAACCGGGCGTGCCTATCCTAGAGCTCTCCTGCTGAGAAGCTATTTTGGCAACAAGACCAGACAACCTGACAGGCCTACTGCAGGAAACAACGAGCCAGCAGGGGGCGCTGCTTGCCTCGTGTTCTGGCAGCTATGACGTACTACACCACGCCTAGGTTGAAAGGGTCACACTGTCTTAATTTAAACCGCATCTTACTCTATAGTCTATAGTCTCTCAAAACAAGCCAGCGTTTCAATCAATGAGGACCTGCAATGACATCAGCATCGTGCCCTCCATCAGTCCTCGCTGCTCGTCTTCGGCCTGGCCAGAAACATCTTTCTCTGCATCAACAAGAATTCCAGATCACCTGCTGTGAGCCGCATCCTCTCCACTTGCTCCTTGGACATCCGCATAAATTGATCCAGAGACTCTACAGCTTGATCTCGCAGAGTCTCCAGCACGGCGACTGCGTTCGACCGGTGGTTAGCAAGGTAGATGTCCTGCACCCACTCGGCCAAGTCCTTTTCATCAGTGTGTGCGGGCTTCCTGGGATTCTCAGTGAAAACCGACTCGTGCTGCACACTATCTCCCAGCTTGGCCATCCAAACTCCTTCAAAGCTCTTGCCGTCGCATCTTCGGACTACGACGTTGCACAGTCCTTGCAGTGGATCGAAGCAAAAACTGCCACGCTTGTCACAGCTTCGGATTTTGGGCACGGCTACTAGCTCGGCCACCCTGCAGGCTGTGTTCTCGGCTCTGTTGAGGAAACTTCGCGCCACAGCCAACACTTCCGAATCCTCTATGTGCTCGCGAAAGTACTGGCGCGATTCCTTGATAAAGTGCTGCACATGGACCCTTACATCAACTTCCGGAACAGGATCCTTGAACGGCGCCGGGTCCGGAACCTCCCCTTCTGCTGGCTCTGATGCTTTCAGCAAGGGACACACGAGTTCAAGGGCCGTTTCAGCATCAGACACCTCGTGCTTCGCTAGCTGATGCAGCACACAGTTCAGCAGCCTCTCGTCGTGAAGCTGCGAAAAGTCAGGGTTATTCAAAACATCACCCTTAAGCTCCTCTAGCGTTTCCTCGCTGTGGCCTTGCACATCAAGATAGACGGTCATGTACGTCAGGATGGCGCGCAGCTGGTCAAAGTTCGCCTTGGCGTCAACTTTCATGTGTCATGTACATTGTACACTGTGCTGCAAACCGTCCAGAACAGACCGAAGCTGCCACAAAGTCACCGGAAGCACGGACCGTGTCAACTCTTCGCCAAGATGAACTGGCCCCGCCCGGTCTCCCTCCTCACATCTGCTGCTCCTGAACGCCTCTTCTGCCTACAGTCTACGGTGTGACCTTCCTGTCATGCACGGTCTGCTCTTGTGACGGACGACCCGATTGCCGCGAAGCAGCCGCCAGCAAGAAATCTGTGGAATTGCCACCTGCAGAAGCTGCCTCGACATGGTCGACGGCCTCAACGACATCTGACGTCTTGTGGAATTCTCTCTGGCTAGCGCGGCTAGTCATGTGACGAGGACGATCACGACATAAGCTTGACGCGAGGATCGTGAGGTGCAAAGCCTCGACCTAGATCGCCAACAGCATCCGAGCGACTGCTGATGCATCGCGTGGGGTAGAAATAGAGGCTGCACCAGAATTCTCGTCGGCCTTGCCACAGAGGTGAAACGAAGCATGCGGCATCATGTTAGTAGGCATGCATGTTGACTTCCGGGATTACATTAACATGCCCACCAGACCGGTCAGCCAAAGGTATTAGATCAGAAAGTCATATATACCAGCCCTGAGTGAACACCTTACACAAACTAACTCCTGCTCAAGCCGTTGACGCTCCGACTTCACCCACGCAGGGCAGATGTTTGTATGGCGATGCTAGTTCTGTCACGTCTCTACCCATCCAAACATCACAAAGCTCGTGCTCACGACAGCAAGCCGATCTCTGCTGCAAGCACAGGCTTCTACCCGCAGCATGCGCCATTTTTCGGGCTAAGCTTTTTATGTCGCTACAAGATGTAAAGCGCTCCTGTGACAGACAACCCAATTGCCGCGAAGCAGCCGCCAGCAAGAAATCTGTGGAATTGCCACCTGCAGAAGCTGCCTCGACATGGTCGACGGCCTCAACGACATCTGACGTCTTGTGGAATTCTCTCTGGCTAGCGCGGCTAGTCATGTGACGAGGACGATCACGACATAAGCTTGACGCGAGGATCGTGAGGTGCAAAGCCTCGACCTAGATCGCCAACAGCATCCGAGCGACTGCTGATGCATCGCGTGGGGTAGAAATAGAGGCTGCACCAGAATCCTCGTCGACCTTGCCACAGAGGTGAAACGAAGCACGCGGCATCATGTTAGTAAGTATGTATTGATTGCCAGTATTGCAAAACGAATCTGAACAACCGTGCCGACCACTGAATGCTCCCGTCTCCCTTCACAGGGTTAGGAAGCACAGTTGCACTAGCTCTTCGCCTCAGAACCTCAACCACTGGATCCCTCTGCCAACGGCCATCTGTCTGTTTTTTGCCTGCAAGCAGCAAGCAACTGTGCACCTTGCACTGGATGTGCTGGTGCTGCCTGAAGCACGGGTGGACATAAATAGCAGCCAAAACTGTGCCGGTGACAAAACTCACAGAGTCTCGTGCATGCGAAACTGAGCTGCCGAGAGAGCTGGAGGATGCTCGTTCAAAGCGATCTCCAAGCGTTTCGCGTGGCCGGGAAGTATGCCACACGCTCTCATCTCTTTTTTGTTCATCGTCCCAACGATATCCATGCTGTGGTAGCCATTCTTCAATAAGTTGTCCACGTACTGTGGCAACTTGTGTTGCTCCAAGAATCTCCTAACATCCGCCATGTCTTGACTTTCCTGCAATCAAACAACTGCAGCAAGTTTGTTTTTCGCACGCAGACATGCGAACGATGATCCCCCTCTGCCTGCTTGTCTATATCATCCTTGTGTCGAACAGCATGCCTTCGACAAGCTAAACGCCTTCTGCAGGGCTTAAGCCATCCAGCAAACTCCATGGCCACTTCTCCGCAAGGCGAGCAAGAACTACTTGCGTGCATGGTTCATACGAAGGGAAGTTTATTCATGGGCATCTGCTGGACACCCCACTTCACAACAGCCTGCATGGCACGGCAAGCCTGCAACACGAGCTGCGGACATGCTCAAATTCCGGCAATCCAAACATTGTCAAGCCACAATGTTGTCACAACCTCGATCTTCAGGCTTAAGCACATGTGCCCCTGCATGCACGAATAATGCAAGCATTCTAGCGTTGTCAAGTCGCATGCTGGTGGAAAAATCAAAGCAGCGTGACTTCTTCATGATCCATGGCTCCGCTCGCTTTTCGCCTCTTAAAAGCACTGCTTGGCACAGGTGCGCAGGAGAGGCACAAGAGGAGAGGTGATCTTTACCGCAGACCATTGAAATGCTGACTGCCTCGGTGTTCCGGGAAACTGCAGAGGACGGTGGATCGGACTCTCCGGTGCCCCCAATTTCGATCTAACGAGGCCGCTCCCGTAGTCGGGCAACGCAGAAGCAGCACCGCACGGGCAATGCCTCCAGGAGTCTCACTGGTGCCGGCCTTCTGGGAGCGCAGCTGAGCAGTAAACGAAGCCTGTCTCAATCTGTTCGGAATCAAAGCCCTCCACAGAATAATGGTATAATTCCTTAACCGTTCGGAGTTTCTTGGTTCGTAATATCCCCCCCATAGTAAAACCCCAAGTATACCCCAATATATCCTAATATAAACCTTACTTCACATGCTTGCGCTTGCGGCCCCGTCAAAGTCCGGAACAACTGTACACTCGGTAAACTCCACCGTTGAAGCTGCGCATGGAACGACAGGCCGGGATGCACTCTTTTGGAGCTTTGGGTATATCGGAGCGTAGCTTCAGGTTTAGGGTTTAGGGTTTCGGGTTTGGGGTTTCGGGTTTAGGGTTTGGGGGTTAGGGTTTAGGGTTTCGGGTTTCGGGTTTGTGGTTTAGGGTTTAGGGGCCTGGGCAAGGGATTTGGGGTCAAGACGTCACCAGTAGCCTCTTCGCCCCCACAGACGCAGCTTCGACCTATGTTCGACGCGGTGGCGCACGGCCAACTATAACTGTGTCCAGGGCTCAGGCGCCGTGGCTGGAAGAGCCGGACATGCGAAGCATCACGCTATCGCCTTCGCCTCTTGTTGTTGCGGCAGCGGACATGGATCTCACCCCGGTATTCGGAGTCCCGATGAAAAAGCACATTTCTGAAGAGCTCCTTCTGCTGCTGGAAGGTCTCTTTATGCTGGAGCTTGTAAAGCTGCTCTAAGACGCTCTCGAAATCAGCTTCCATGGTCCGCACCCTGCAGCGGACTTCGACTGTGACTGTGTCGTCTCCCGGTCGCTGCTGCTGGACAAATTTCTGGTATGTCTTCAGCATTCTCAGTCTTCTGTTGTTGAAGCTAGCCAGCACGCCCGAGCCTCGGAAAGTTCTTGGCTCGCACGCACTGTCAGTTTGCCGACTAGCTGAGCTCCCGGCTTGTTTTGACGACGTCGAGCGTCAGCCACTCCGCGTCTAGCCGAATTTCTCCTGCCGAAAACAACGTGGATGGTGCTGCAGATGTGCCGGGCAGTTGGCTAGCGGGTCCTCGAAGCAGCTGCTTGAGCGTGTCATCACACCGCCTGCCGTCGCTGAAGTGGTCCGCGCAGGTGTCTTGCGTGAACTCGATGTCGTCCACGCGGACCTTTCGCAGCCTGAGTTTGAAGAGCAAGTCGCCGCAGACTGCCGGGGCACGTGCCTGGGGCTTTTTTCTTGGGACCTCATCAATGAGGTTCAGCCGGGCCACTTCGGAGCCAGCGACTTCAGGGGCTCCCGAGCGTCGAAAAGGAAGCTGGGCGCAAAGACGGCCTTCAGCTTTTGAGACTGGGCCTAAACACGCAAAAACTGCGTAAGAAGCCCGTGATGAGTTCTCTTCCCTGGCCTCGGTTGCGGCCGGCTGCCACCCTGGCGGTGGAGACGGCGGCTCCTGGCTTGGCACACCGTTCTGTGAGCAGATCTGCATAATCGAAGACGGGATCGGCTGAGGAGGAAGAAGCAGCTTGGGTACTCGCAGAGGCTGGGGCAGGGGCCGGTACTGAGAAGACTGTGAGCGGTCGCCGAGACGGGATCTCCAGCGCCTCAGACGTGGAGTCATCACTCACTTCCGCTTCCAGCTCGCCCAGTGCCGGGCCGAGACCTCTGAAGCCCCAAAACCTCCGCAAAGCCGTCTCTTCCCCTGCTCTGCCTTCGGCGTCGGCTTCCAGCCCGAAGGCGGGGTGCTGGGCTCCTGGCAGGATTGCCGTCTGAAGCTTCGAAGTCCCCAAAACCCGGAATTTCCGGAAAATCTCCTCAGCCCAAGGACCCGGAAGACTACTTCCACCTAAAGGCTCAGAGGGCCAAAGCTCCGCTTTGAATGCCCTGGCCGGGCCCGGGCCTTCGGGATGAGAGGCATGCAGCCGACATCGGAGTTCGGGGTTTCAGGAGCTTCAGACTCAGAAGCCTCAATCTCCCCTAAACCCTAAACCCTAAACTTCCCTAAACTTCCCTAAATCCCGGTATACCGTGAATACCCCCCAAGATTTTCTGAAAACCCGGGAATTGCAAGCCGACGCTGCTTCGACCTTTTGGGCTCTAAACCGTCTTTGGGGATGGCCATGGCATGCTCCCTTCCTTGACCAGCGGCTTCGACCTGCCACCGCGAGCATGGGGTAGGGTTTAGGGCTTAGGGTTCACGTGGGTTCATGGGTTCATGGGTTCATGGGTTTAGGGTTTCGGGTTCATGTCGCGTTTAGGCCGGGAGAATCCTGCAATGAAAGGGATCCTTATGGAGGGACGGTTCATCAAGGAATATTTGGGTGTCTGGGCGCACGGAAGCTCCGGTGCTCTAGAAATCACAGGTAGCATCACCCCAAGCCAAAATCTTTTCAGGAAATCGGAAGCTCCAACAGACATCGACCCCGCCTGTATTTCGGAGTCGGCATCAGGTAGTCTGGGCAGGAGGGCTCTTCGGAGGATGTGGGGAGGCCGGCGTGCAACCCGAACGCTTCTCACAAGGCGATGTGCGCAAAGATCGCAGCTATATCGATAGAAGGTTTGGGTGAGCGGAAGAAGTGAGCTCTGACAAGAGACTCCAACCCAGAGCATTGGATCCAACCCCACTTGCTTCTGCAGCATACCGACGCGTCGTGGCAATCTCTGCGAACTGCCGAAAAATGTGTGACCCGACCACAGTTTCCCGCAGGCAGAAGCATCCTCTATCCAAGTCCGGAAATCCAACTAGGCTCAATGCCAAGTAAAGCCTGCGGCTTATGAGCGAGTGTGTAGCAAGATGCGACATAAGCAGAGCCTGTGTGAACGTGCGCGGCGTGTGCGGTTACTGATGTCAGTGAGAGGGACAAGCTTAAAGCTCACTAGCCTGACCAGAGCCGCTGGAAGACTGCGAAAACCCTCAACCGGCGCCCCAGACCTCGGCCAGCCCGTTGTGGTCCTCGAGACCGGTGATTCGGTTGATGGTATACAACCTGCATTACCCACAGTAAGGAATATGCCATAATTCCCATAGTTTCGGGTCCTTAAGGGATTTCTATCATCAACAGTTGGAGTGCGGAGATGTGTAGTCAATCTTTGTCGGGGGCGAAGGCGGGGGCGAAATACTGCAAGCAGCTACAGGGAAGTCTACTGCCCTATGCACTACGACATGGACTACAGGTGCAGTGCAGCTCTGTCGCTCCTACACAAAAACATCTCCATGACAACCGGTCCTTGCGGAGCGACTGGTACTGTGGATTCGGAGCTCCCTGAGTGAGCATGAGGGCAATTGCAGTTCTGCGCAAAGGAACTGATGGGACCGCCGCGCCCAAGAGCGCTGAAACTCGCGACATGCTCTGTATGTTCAAAGGAGCTCCACGACTTGCTGCAAGCTGCTGCATGATCCCAATAAACGGTGCAGTGTTGCCATGCTCCGCCCTGGGTCGGCATGCCTTCCCTGCCAACAGTGCGTGTACATTTGGGCTTCGGCTAGGGTTATACCTCCTGCCCGTGGGTGCGATCCTTCTGTGCATGTGGGTGGCCTGTTCCTCTCCGGCAGGGTCACATTTCTGAAGAGTCACGCGAGTCCAAAATGCTAGACCACCCCATCCCGGTAACGTCTGAGCTACTGAGCTCGGAGCCCTGCAAGCTCGCAGCGCTCTGCCCGCCACTTCTTGCGATCTTGGGACGGGCGGGGCGGTCCACACCGGAAGCCTCAATCCAAAGACCCGGCCTCCGGCGCCGCGCTGGGCTTCGGAGCCTTCGCTGCCTCCTCCGGGCTCTCAACTCAGAGGCATTTCTCTCCGTCGCACTCCAGTGCTCGGCCTCCGCTTTTGAAGGCTCGCCCTTGTCAGAGAGCAGAAAGCACTGCTTCAGAGCCTCCAACTCCTGGGCTCGGCGCTCCGGCCGGCGCTCGCCAGTTGGGAGGGGAAGCAGAGGATGCCAAAAATGTTGGAGGTTTTGGGGGTTTTGAGGGTTTTGGAGGTTTTGGGGGTTTTGGGGGTTTTGGGGGGTCTGGGAGGCTGAGGTTTCCTCAGAGCAGGGGCCTGCGAATGGAGCTCGCTGATCTTCTGCAGGTAGGAGATCAACTTTGCGTTGGGCTCCTGGCGCCGATGAACAGGGTTTAGGGTCTAGGGTTTAGGGTTTAGACTGACTCCCCGATTGCCGCAGCACTCACCTTACACGTCCGACTCAAGCATGGAAAGAAGCTTCCAAGTTACAGTCTGTAGCGTATGTGTGCTTGCGTGTGTATCTCTATATATATATATATATGTGTCTGTG